AACAGAAAGTTTATTGACTTGCTTTCGCTTGCCGACTTCATAGCTGTCAAACTGAAAAGCATCGAGAATAGCTTTCCCAAATTTTCATATTTTCTGGTAAACTGCCGCCCGGCAATGTAAACATTCATCACATAAAAGGCCAAAAATTTTCAGACGTGAGATGAAGATGCTGGACAATCAAATATGTTTCTTTGAAACGGATTCTATTCAGTAATTCTTTATATTTCTTCGCCAAGAGTAATGTAGCATTGTGAAGAATAAACATCATCTTGTTGAATGTATTTGGCCTCTTTGTTAAAGATGTTATCGTGTACCGGCAAAAATCCATCTGGAACTCACTAGAGAGCCACCACGTAACCACGTATATCTCAACATCGAAGCATTGTATCCGTTAGTCGTACACCAACCATTATTACATCCATTTCTCCTTGTGACTCAAAATCTTATTAATGCATAACAATAACAAAAATAGATCTTATGTTTTACTGCAAACCCACAAACGATTTAATCAATTTCAATTTCCATCAGATCCAAGACTAAAACCATGACTAATCATTATCTCAGGGGTACTACAACATTGGGTAATCGTTAGCAAGCTTTTCTCGCGAATACATTTACGATTGAGTTATGAGATCGATCTTCACTGGATGACCCATACTTTCGGCTTTGTGCCACGTCTAAGCTACGGTTAGAAAAGCAACACATGAGTTTACCTTAGAGTCTAAGTATCTAATTAGGCAAAAAGCTCCTTCGCATACCCGAAATGATGATCACTCAGAGAAATAATCCAGAATTCGTTGGTGAATAAAATGGTTTAAAAATGGATCTTCATGTATTTCACAGTTGATTTCATTCAATTTTGATTTAATAACAAACTTGCACACAACCTCACTTACTCTCCCCCCTCCCCCTATCCTCTCTCTCTCTCTCTCACACACTCACACACACACACTATTTCCCTTCAATCAAGCTTGGTTATGGTCTTCTACAGCTTCCTATATTATTAGCACTAAGCAATGTGCATTGCTTCATCAACCTTCCTCATGCTTGTAACACTTAGTTCTCCAAATTTAAAAATGACATTTTACACCTTTGTTTTCTCTGTTTCATTTGCTTGCTATGTTTTCTGTGATAGATTCTGTTAGGGAAAGCGTAGAAATGACCAAAATGGGAAGCAATACTGCACTGGTTTGAACCCCGTGGCCATAGAATTTATTTAGATACTGAGCTTGTTTAATACCATAAACACGATCGAATACGACCATTAGGTTTGCGAGAATGTAAATGCAATGACCCCAATCGCAGATTCAGTAAAACAAAAGACCATATGGTGTAGGCCAGTTGATTAACCTGTTGACATTTGTCCTCTCTATCTACTTCATCCTCTCGTTTCAATCAAGACATAATGTTACAACTCGTGTCTCCTCACTGAAACAAAGCGAGGAAAAGAAATCTAAGAACATTGCCTGCCGTTCATTCAGTCTTTGATGCAGCGTTGGGGCCTGAAGTATTACCATAAATAACGAGAAGCTAGAATCAACAATAAAGAATACTTCAAAATTTCTTTTTATATTATAAGTAAAAAAATTCAGCTGCCGTTGATATATTGTTAGCAACAATCTTCTTTTACTTCCTATTCTCTTTATAACTTCTGCAATCTGCGTTGCAACATACATACACAATAATATCGATTACATTGTGTTAGGTTATTTTTCAAACGATATATTTGCTTCGATGACTAATTGGTTCGTTTATGATTCGTACATTTTTCTACGTGTATTTTTCAAAAATACATTTTGGAGGAGAAACTCATTTTCTTTCAAAAGGCGGTTCTAAAATAAAAATAGCTACATACTAGTATCTGTAAATGGAATTCGACTTGATGAATAATAAGCATCCTTTGTAGTTGACAGCAAAGAGATGCTATAAAGTGCTTCAGCTTTAGGCAAATCATACACTATTGCATTCACGTTACAAAGTAGACACCAGCTACGTAGTTCACAACAGCTACCTCCCCAACTATAATTACTAAACAGCTGCTCACCCAACCACTAAGTGATCCATAAAAACCATCTCCACTGTGTTTATTTCTTCTACGTTTTCCAGTCCAGATATTACCACCACCATAATCACTACCAGGTCATCTATCACGACAATCATCATTGATAAAATGCTGTCCACCGCAACTGCCACAACCGCTAATACTATCTCGTTTCATTTATGTTACATCATCTACTGCGTTTGTCTCCATCATTATCAGTATCAATAAATCTACTGGAATCTTTTCCAATCAATCCGAGTGCTCCAACTACAACTGGAATTGTTGATGTTCTCATGCGCCACATTTTTGAGATTTCGATTTCAAGTTCCTTGTATTTGACAGCTTTTTGAAGATCTTGAAATTTAGATTGCAGTCTGCAGAAACTGCTATGCCAATAAGGAGACATATTTATTATTATTATTATTATTATTATTATTATTTATTGAAACATTATTTAATGGATATTTATAATCGAGTAGATGTTCCGTTTAATTTTAAACCGTATTTATTCCGTATACCGGCCCTGCAAACTCTATTATTCAAATACGAGTATCGACTAAACATAACGTTTGAAGTATTAAAAATGTCAGATATATCCATTAATTATATATATATATATATATATATATATATATATATATATATATATATATAGATAGATAGATAATGATATAGATAGATAGATAGATATAGATATATATATATATATATATATATATATATATATATAAAATATATACGGAAAAAAACAAACAAAATCCTTATATACAATTATGCTGTTTTAATGTTAATATGTTAATATTAACATTAAAACAACATAATTGTATATAAGGATTTTTGTTTGTTTTTCTATATATTTTATCCATATATTTATATCCATATATATATATATATATAGATATATAGATAGATAGATAGATAGATAGATATATAGATAGATATATATATATATATATATATATATATATATATATATATATATATATATATATATATATATATATATATACAGTTAATCTATAAATCAGTTAATTTATAATATTTATGTTCTGTAAATTTATATTGAGCATTGTTTTGTAAAAATAAAATTATCAATACGAACAGTGGATTATATTTCTTACTGTCCTTTTTTTAATATAATATATATATATATATATATATATATATGTGTGTGTGTGTGTGTGTGTGTGTGAGAGAGAGAAAGAGAGCGGGGGCGTGTGCACGCACACGCGTTAATGTATTAATGAAAGGTTCTCTGCTCGTCAAGGAAGACCTTCCCATCAAGATTTTAGCAACTGGGTCAGGCCAAAATCTTTTCATTACTCTTGAAATATATATCTAGACCGCGTCCATCTTATCTCCCCAATTACTATCGCATCGCCTTTAGCATTCGTAGCAATTTCCCTACAATTTTCGGCACATTAAATTTTTCTGGAATGAGGAATTATCCTTATTAATGCTTTTACAAGAACCATCTACCCATGCAGATTAAATGAATTGTTCAGTTCAGAATTCCCTTTAGGTTAGCCAAATCGATATTAACATGAGTAAAGCCGAAGAGCACCACGGCAGAAAGGTTGTGATAACAACAAAAAGGAAGGTATTACTCCGAATAAAATAGTGCGAATAATTAATTGTTTTTGTTTAAGAATAGTAAACATTTTACAGTCAGAGTTAGTAAGATCACTTTATGAAAAAAAAAAGCCATCATGAATGATTTACGACATTTTGTGCGGATATATGTTCTACATTTTGTAAAATTGAAACTGATAGCTATTCATTCAAGAAACTTGAGAATAACTGTTGCTATATAACACGCCTACAAAATAGCAAAATCAAGCGCGGTATTTTTTAGTTTATATTTTCATGTTTAAGTTCCCAATAATGAAAGCATCACAAAAACAGGAAGCTTTAAATTCGTAGTTAAAACAACAAAAAAACGTCTATATAATATCATTCCTCTTAGTATATTATGAGACTCATCTTTCTTTTTATGTGTCATGTCCTTTCAGGACATGGAAAATTATGGCCCTGCACACCTCTCTTTTATCCCTTGCAGCTCTCAACACGTCCCTTCCCTCTACTACCTCCCCTAGACCCCACGTCTTGTCATTCAGTTGCGTAATCCCGCGAGGTATGTCATGCATTGTTTTCCCTTGTTTCTTTTTCCCCCTTTTCGACCCGTGAGTATCAGATTCTCCGAACCTCGCTTCCTCATTATGCGTCCCAAATGCTGTCTCTTCCTGATGTTAAGTATAAGCCTCCCCCTTGTTTACATCCTCTCTAAGACCTCATTGTTGCTCACACGCTCGATCCATGATATCTTTAGCATCCTTCTGTAGAACCACATCTCTGTCTTGCGCTAAGTGTCCATCAGATAAGCCATCAAGTTGAGCTAAGAGATGATCTAGCAGCTATAACGCACACACATACACACACACATATATATATATATATATATATATATATATATATATATATATACCACATACCCGAGAGGAATGAGGAAGAGAATCTTACGACCCACGAGAAAGTAAAAACCACGTTTGGGAAAACCCTTATGCCACTTTAAGTAACAAAGACCGGAGTTGATGAAGCAACAATTATATGTATGAGTGATTTATGTTCGTATTCTTATTAGAAATATTGGTTATTTTGTTTGCTTTTGTTCATTTCTTTTGCGACATATCAACACCTTATTAAATTTAAGTTAAATTGAGTTATTTAATGCCAAAATTTAATTTTTTTCCCGCAGTTTTGTTTTGGAGATAATAACTATTTTAATAATACATTTTTTATTAATTAACCCATAGGTGGGGGAAAAGAGTTAGACTTATACCATTCCCGAGGCTATTTTCCCGTAAATGATTATAATGAACTCAAATAGAACTGGAGCGCTTCTCTCCGACTAACAATTCCGTATCATCATTCATTACGCCGCACGGGCATCCAAGCTTTCAGTATTGCCAAGCGGTTACTCATCTAGGTACTGACAGTCTCGACGTTGCTTAACTTCGGTGATCGTACGGGAACTGGCGTTTCAATGTAATGTGGCCGTAAGCGCTATTCGAAATGTGCAACGATAAAGTTGCATATACAAATATGAAGAAAATTTAATAAGATTGAACATTATCTGAACTTCTATACTGTCGATTTATCCTCGGAAATATTTGCAATACATAATAAAATAACTTTTGTACAAAGCAGATGGCTTAATTTGCAGGGGAAGCTATAAATCAAGTTATTTCTACCCGCAACTGACTTCGGCCAATATTTGCGGGGCACTTGTTTTGATCGCAGTTATGAAAGAATGTCTCGGTGTTATTTATTCGAATATTAACGTCAAACAATAGGCAGTGTAATATTGACATTACGATGCAAGCAATGAAATCTCAACTGTTCTTGTAGTGTAATTTTAAAATAATGGTAATGGAAGCCATTTCAGAAATAAGAATTCAGACGGTTTGTATTCATTTTATATTATTTATTTTTGTAGGATTAATACTGAGAAATGGACCTTTTAGCATCTATTCGCGAATTGTTCGTTCACATTACGTTTCAGATTAGCGTTTCAGATTGGCACCTCGAGTTTACAAATTTCAGGACAATAAAATAAAATACATGACTGCTAGGAAATGGAACGGCCCAACAAGCAAATTAAAAACTGATGCTACCAAAATCAAACAAGTACAACAATTTAAATATATATTTTATTTACATTATTCGGACTACTGTCCTCATCTTTGTCGCCATATTTATTACAACGTTTCGGCCGTTGTACGCTCTGGCCTTCTTCAGGTGGTTGGAATGTCGAAGTTAACCCTTTATTTCGCTCACTGGGGTAGACTGTTCTAGTTCCACGTGCCATGTTTTTTTTAATGGATGTTAGTTATCAGTTATCTCCTGTTAATTTTCCTCTGAAAGTTTCCACTGCATTTAACCGGGTATTGAACTCACACTCTTAAGATCCACTGTGCCATGTGTCCTTCAGGACATCTGTGTATGAATTTCTGGGTATTATAAACTTAATGTCTATAGCAACCATTTTTTACCAGAGCTCATATTCCAACTTTTGTTGTTATTATTGCTTTTCTCTGGCACTCCTTATTACTGGTTCCCATATTGTATTTATTTCTATGCTTGGTCGGCTCAGGAGATTTTGTGGCCTAGCATATGCACTGATTCTTTAAGTTTACGAATTTTCCAATGGCGTTTTTTGTCTATGATCTCAACCTGATACCACAGATATATAATACCCAGGAATTCATACACATATGTCCTCAAAGACACATGGCACAGTGGATAAAGGCGTTGGTTAAATCCAGTGACAGGACCCAAAGTGTGTGAGTTCAATACCCGGTTAAGGCAGTTGAGAACTTTCAGAGGGAAATAACTGATAACTGACATCCATTAAAAATCATAGCACGTGGAATTAGAACAGTCTACCCCAGTGAGCGAAATAAAGGGTTAACTTCGACATTCCAACCACCTGAAGAAAGCCGTAGCGTACAAAGGCCGAAACGTTGTAATAAATATGGCGACAAAGATAAGGACAATAGTCCGAATATTGTAAATAATGTACATAATAATTTCGTAAATATATATGTGAAGTTTTTTAAGAGAGAACAGAATGTGCTGCACTGAAATCCGAAGGCATATCATTGGTAGCGAAAGGTGCCTTTCAAAAACTAAGCAAAGTATTAAGAAACAGAAAAAATTCGTTGGAAACAGAGAAATGTGTACTGAACTGTTATGTAATATTAATCCTCCCATATGTCAGTGAATGCTGGACGATCTCCTCACAGATAAAGAAGGGATTCGAAGCAACAGAAATGTGGTTCTTTTGAAGAATGCTGAGAAAACCACGGAGCAAATATTTGAGAAATGGCAAAGTTTTAGAGAAAATAAAAACAAAAAGGAAACTTCTATTGAACATCAGGTGGAAACATTTGCACAAAATGAGAAAAGAAGGTTTGTAAAACTTAATACTCACATGACGGATTGAGGTCATGAGGAACAGTAGGAATAGAACGCATTACCAAACATTCGGAGATATAACAAAATGAGAAAATTGATTAAGAGGTACGAAAAAAAGGAGGTTATAGAAAGCTGTGATCAACAATGTCCTGAAGAGAAAGGGCACACAAAAGAAGACGAAGAAGAAGAAAACTCGATTGGCAATTAGGCCTCATAATAAACATGTTCACCTCAAAATCTTAGATATATTGATAATTTTATAAAAATTCTATTCAGTTTTCTGCAAAACCAACAGCGGAAGACCTTTGGCGATTCGCAACATTTCCATTCATATTTAATGTGATATCTATTCATTTCACCCCAGGCAAAGCAGAAAGCCACTATGACGCAAGATGTTACTCTGCGTGAGAGAGTATGACAAGAAAAACAAATTCAGTGTTAAACACTAACAATATATCGTGGTATCTGCATGAATGATGCTGTGTGTTTATGTGTGCGTATGTATTTAATTTTCTTTAATCATTTCAACCTAAGCAAGGCAATAAAGCCGCTGTGATGCAAGGGGTCAATGTGAGTGAGCGAGTCTGAGAAGAAAAACATTATTAAACATGGAGAACAATAAAAAAACAGGAATTAAGACAGATATTAACGCTTGAAATTACACGTAACTTTTTGAAGATAAAAATTAGCTAGAAAGCAAGAAGTGTTTTACAAACGCAAAGTGTGAGAAGAAACTGTTAACATAGAACTTAAAATTAAATCTTGCCATTTCCGCTGTAAAATGATAAAAAAAAACTAGCCGCCCATCTAATGCTGTGTAATCGTACAAGTAAATATTATAGAGTAAAGAGGAAAGTTAATCAGAAGAATTGCCATGAAAATATTTATAGAAAATGCACTGGGAAGCTAAGTTAGGATGCCAGGTCACAACCAATAACATTGCATATTATTCTTTGTATTTAATTGATAACTTCTAAATACATAAGAGAAGCATCAGATCTGATGTGACAACAATATTCAACTTAAGCGTGCAGGGGAAAGAAGAAATGCTTGCTATATTTTGTCAAATTAGAAAAGATTAAGACATTCAACGAAGTGTGATCATGAAGAGTAGAAAAAATGCAAATTATTTTTTTTTAAAATAATCTATACAACTAAATATTTCTAATCCGTTAAGGTAAATTGGATTTGCATATCGGGTAAATTTCAGGTAATTTTCTTCAGCTTTTGTTAGTTTATTTCTCAGTTTTAGAAGAAAGTGCTTTCTCCGACTAATTTGAATTTACATAAGCCTTTCTTATTTGATTGTTGTAGGGACATTCGAAAGTAATTATTTCTCACATAATAAAGTTTACTAGGAACCATTAAAAGAATTACATTCTGCTAATATTGACAGGGGAATTAGTATTTGATTGCTGTCTTCTAACTTGGCTCGAAACAAGTAATAAACACCAAACCAGAAAGCGAGAGGGACACAGAAAAAATGATTTATAGAAAGAAAATAGTAAAATGATAATTGGTCCAAATAATGTTAATATTATTTTTGAGTTCGAATTTATGAGATACTTATAAAAAGCAACAAGATAAATAAATAGAAACGAACAGAATGGGATAGATAGATAGATAGATAGATAGATAGATAGATAGATAGATAGATAGATAGATATGAGTAAATTTAGATAGATAGATAGATAGATAGATAGATAGATAGATATGAGGAAATTGAAACACATAGATATGAGTAAATTGAGATAGATATGAGTAAATTGAGATAATTAGATAGATAGATAGATAGATAGATAGATAGATAGATAGATAGATAGATAGATAGATATGAATAAATTGAGATAGATAGATCTGAAGAGACTTAGATGGATAGATATATATAAAGAGATTCAGAAAGATAGAGATTAGTGCGAATTATACGATGTGCGTTTTTATTATGAAAGTTTATTTTTATATAATATAAACAGATAAACCAATAGTTATCATAGAAACTTTCAGGATATACTTACTTTTATAGGAATGTATACCATGTCAGTTCCACTTTAATAACAAAAAATAGAATATACAACCAAAACACTCTCTGGAATACTCATTCGTCATAGGTCCGACCAAAGTAATGTCCGAAAACGTAAACAGGAAAATTGAAATTAAATTTAATATTACTAAGTTCAATAGGAAAAATATCTGAAAGCAATTGTCGAGTTAGTTATTACTACACCTTTTTTGTCTGCTAACAAGTCAGAACGACCCTGTAAGCAACATCTACGAATGTGTTGAATTAAATCAGAGCTTCATAACACTTATGTTTTGAAGGAACCAGACAAAGTAAAAGTATATCTTTCTGAATTTAATTTTCATTTCCACGCGTTTTAATTAATCGAAGTCTTGTAATACATAATAAGAAGAACATTCCTTATCAGTGCTGTGCTGAAGAAAAAGTACGAAGGATGTTTAAAACGTTCTAAGCCTCACACAGAAAGAAAGGATATACCTGAATATTTTTGTTATGCCAACACATTACCACTTAATTTCTGTGCAGGTAAGACCCAAGCAAAGGTGCGAGGTGTGCGACAAATCTAAGAATGGATAAAACAGTGGCTCATGTAGTCATAAATCTCTGCAAAGAAAGGTATGTCTCCCAAGGAAATCCATGAAGACATGATATAGACACTTGCCGAGAAATCCCCTTTCTATACAACCGTGAGGAAGTGGCCTGCGGATTTCAAACAAGCCAGGGACAGCATTGAAGACGACTATCAACCTCAACCACAAATGAACAAGTTGACGCCATTCACCGCATGGTTTTAGTTGACAGACGTCTTACTGTCCAACAGATAGCTAAGTCCATAGGCATTAATTCAGGTTCAGTCCATTCTGTTTTAACTGGGTTCTTGGGGCCGAGCAGGCTGTCTGTAATATGGGTCCCAAGTGTGCTGACACCAGCGCAGAAGTTGAAAAGGGTTGACATTTCCACGACAATTGTGACTCGCTGCCAGACTCACCCTGAGAATTTCCACCGCAGATTAGCAACTCAAGATGAAACCTGGACTCACCACTTCGAACCTGAATCAAAGATT